TATCAAATATTATTCTGAATTTTAATTATTTAAAGATTAAGCATTTTTAAAATTAAATAAATAAATAAATATGTTAGGACATTAACACACAGCACCGGCTTGTTCCATGGTAAGCTACGAGGCTTATGTTATGGATACCAGGTAGTTGATACAATACACATACATATATAACTTTTAAACTTACATATATATTATAAATATAAACCCATGACTGGAGTACAAACATTCGTGCTCATCGCACAAATAAATGCCCCCAGTGGGACTTGAACCCACGACCAATTAAGCTAAATTATTACTATACCTACTTATTTCCTTTTACTTATTTCTAATGAAGATGAAATCAATTGGATGCGCTATGGTGCTATTACATGGCTACATATAATACAATAATATTATTAGTCATGCTTTGCAATAAATTGTAGAAGTCACAGCCAGAGGATGCAAAACAAATGTTATTTTATGTTTTAAAATACTTTATTATACTAAATTCAAAAAGTGAATAAATCCTTCATGGGCTTGAGTATACGCATATATAATGTTTCATAAAATGTCCTAGATTTACTTTTTTTAAAATTTAAACATAAAATTAAAAATATATTATTGAGCAAATCGTATTATACTGTTCAAGAGTTTCTTGTCGATGAAAATGTGTAGAATTGAGTGATATTGACTCATATGCGGGCTATCTATAATGTTATGTTAATAAAATAAATGTAACCTCGATATTTAAAAGAGCAACTGTTGAGTTTCTCGCCGGTTCTTCTCAGCAGAACTGCTTTCCGAGCCGGTGGTAGCTTCCTCACGGACTGGCTACACTGATGCTTTCATTAAACTGACGAATTAAAAGTACTTTTAATAAATCTAATCGAATATAGTTTATTTCATTTGATTTCATTAAATCTTACTTCTAATACTTTTACAAATTAATTATCCTAAAGGCGATTACGTGTTCGGAGTTTGATCAATGAATGAACTAATAAAACTTTTAAACATAAAATGTGCTCAATGGATGTCTCAATACAGTCGTAACATAAAAGCTATGCTGTAACACGAAAGTGACGCGGTGCAGGTGCTGGATGCGATGTTGATGGTCGCTGCAAGGTCAGTGGTCCCCATACATTAGGGTTGTGTAACAAATGTATGAACAAAAATGTTATGTCTCTTCATAAAAACTATGTCACATGTATAATATTAATACCAGTAGCCTAAACTAAGACGGTTTTCGAATTCATATCGTTATGGTATCGAGCACTCGATACGTTGACAGAGTACTAAGATTCTGTTATAGTGATGTTCTCCAAGCCGATTCCGGCTACGGCGGCCAATCTCATTGAGACTAGCCAACTGCGCAGGAGATATTATAGTGCTCTAGTGTACACGCAGACACAAGTGCACTCTCTATTCCTGTCACTCTCATACTCCAGTGGGACGAAATGCATTTCCCACACGTTAAAAAAAAAAAAAAAAAAGGCGCAGGACCGACGGCTTTGATGTGCTCTCCGAAGCACGGGGGTGAAACACCGCCAAACTTCCAACTCCGGTTGTGTAACTGTATGAACAAAAATGAGACTTACTATACAGAAAGTCTTAATAACTAAACTTGGCCCGACCCGGGACTTGAACCCAGGACCTCCGGGTGTGCAGCCGTACATGCTAGCCACTACACCACCGAAGCAGTTAAGTTCTGTTATAGTATCGGGGCCTCGATACTATAACATTAGTGACGTCATACTATTAAGCAAAATGTTAAATTAATGACATATTTTACAAAACTATATTAAAACTTATTTTAATTTTCTATTAATTAAATTGTAAATTTTATTTTATTTTGATTTTGATTTAATTAGAAGAAAAAAAACAATAGCAAATTATAGGAGCTTAAGATTATTAAATTTAAATCTATTTTATATTTTCATATAAATAAAAATGAACCGCTAAATTTGTTGCTAAGCGCAAAAACTCGAGGACAACTGGACTAATTGGCCTATTTTGTTACTCAAAGATCCGTTTAAGTCCGAGGAAATTTCTTATGACGAGAAAAAGTGGAAAAAATGCCCGGAAAAATGTAAAAACACAATTTTTCTAATCTGGCCATACTTGATTTGTCAGAACAAGAAGAATCATCAGAAGAAAAAGATTTGTCTGCCGGGTCAACTTATTAAATAATAAAAAAAAATCAATTACAAATCTTCTTAGAAACATTCCTGAAGTTCTAAAGTTCAAATCGATTTGATACCCGCTGATGATATTTACACGGCGATATAAAATATAGTATTTTTATTAGTCACACTTCAATGTGTCCAGTATAAATTATTTAGTTATTTCTATTTTAGTTGATATTTACTTTAGTGTGAATTATGAAGTCATTTTTTGTTTTTTGTGTCCTTTATTTTATAGCAGGTTCTTTAGTAAGTTTTTATCATTTTACAAGTGTTTATTAACCGATTTTCTTTTTTTTATAAACTTTTTTTGACCTTTAGTGTTATCATTAACAAAAACGTGTGAGTCTCACAGTAATCGCATATGATGTCTAACATCTGACATCTCACCTTATTATATTATTTTTACTCTAATTATTTAACTTCAATTTGCTATTATATTTCCTATTGTAATCTAATCAGACTGACTTGAATGATGTTAGAATTAGTGTGTAACAATAGATTTCTTAGAATTTAAATTAATTTCTTAGAAATTTACCTGGAGGTGTTAAAAATGAGAATTTTTGTTTGTATTTCATAAATAGTCTGAAAATATTACTAGACTAGAATTATGAAAATAAAGATAACCTGTTTTGAAAATATGAGCAAAATTGTGTAATAGAAATGTCAAAATCTGTATTATTTTAAGTTTATGCTCTAGAATTTTTTTAGTTATTGTAGTTATATAAAATATTGTTATTTTATATAAGAAAGGGATACATAAGGAAATACCTTTGATAAAAATAATAATCTCACGAAAATCTTAAGAAAATCTCAAAAATAACGCTCATCAAGCCTTTTCATTTGATATCCATATCATGGGGGTGCACAAACGAAAGAGTCCATCTGTGGCAGTGCACCAAATTGAATTTACACTTTTTATCACCTAACAGCAAACTCTACCAGCGCGCGCGCTCATTGGTCAAATCAAATGGCGCGCACTTCCCGGCTTCCTGTTATATACTTCCGTCCCTTTTTACGAAATCACCCCCACAGATTGCGTAAAGCGAGAGGAAAGGAAAGTACCATACACATCAAAAATTTAGAAATAGTTTATTTTATTATAGCTATGTAAATTCTGTTTATATATATTTTCTTCAAATTTTAGATACGAAAAACTTTAACTCAATCCAACCGGGAACTTTATTTAAGTTGGCTTAGAGAAAATCAAAAAAATAGTGTAACAACACAAAGTACTAATGACCATGTACCTGATTGTGTTTTAAAATTTATTTTAAATCAAAATAAAATATTCATTCATGATGGAGGAAGTCCGTTTCGAAAAATGGTGAGTATGGAATAATACATCATAATGATGAAATTTGAGTAATTAAAATAACGTTAAAATAAGTAGCTTAAAAGTACGCTTTATCTAATAAACGGTACTAGAAGGAATTTAAAGTATTTACATAGAAATGATTATGTTACAGACTTTGGTATGAACCCTTCAATACAGATACAGGTAATCGAATAATAATATTATGATGAATCGAATAATAATATCTCATCTAAAAAAATAAATGATAATCCTTATCTTTCTCAAGAAAGTGTTAGAGATAATGAAGTACGAATTGATTTAAGTAGATCTTGAAAATAATTTACAAGAACCTACAGTAAACTTTCGACGATACGTTTGGCTCAGTTTGTAGTGACCCTACTTGCTGTGCCAACGGTTGCGGGTTCGTGTCCCGCTAAGGGCATTTACGAGTATCTGTGTGATGAGCACGGATGATTGTACTCCAGTCATGGATGTTTACATTTATATTTATAATATGTATGTATTTAATGTTATATATGTATAGTGTATCAACTATCTGATATCTATAACACAAGCCTCGTAGCTTACCATGGAACTAGATGGTGCTGTGTGTTAATGTAAAAAAAATGGCAATACAGATGTAAATATTAATACCCGTGATAGTTACAATATTCAAAATATTCTAATGAACAGTAAATAGCAGAAATATGAGGCAAACATAGACAAGATGAACGCAATCTGAATTCGAACTCGCCATAGGACGAATATAAGACCACTTAAGCGAATGATGAATTATTTTTAATTTAATAACTTTCAAGTTAAAAATATGTAGACTCCATGCATTTAAAATTTACCCGTAATGTATGTAATTATTCCCCTATTTATGAAATAATTTTTGAAGTTAATTGAATTAATTTGAAATTACCTTTGACCATGTGTGTATTGGTGATAGTCATTATTATGTACTCAGCCCTTTTTGACGTCCCACTGCTGGGCACAGCCCTCCCTTCAGTACGAGGGGAATTTGGCCATAGTCCACTACGCTGGCCTAGAGCGGGTTGGCGGACTTCACATATCTTTTGAAAACTTGCTATGTTCTCTCAGACATGCAGGTTTCGTCACGATGTTTTCCTTTACCGTTAAGACAAGTGGTAATCATGTTAGAAATGATTCGCACATGAAAATATCAGTGCGGGACCTGGGATTTGAACTCGCTTCACTCAATTGAGCGCGTTACCACTGGGCTACCACTGGTCATTATTATATAATAAGTAAATTATCTTATTAGAATTTTACGTCACCTACCGTAAATTGAGGGTACTTTATCACACTGATGCACACACACTAAAGCACCAAACTATTCATACTCGTAGCTATGGGGGGTATCACGGACAAAATAAATTAAATATCGATAAATAACATACTTTTATGTAATTATTCCACACCCTAGGGTGGAATATTTTTATAAATATTATATTAGTGATATTATATAGTGAATATTAATGATCTTATATTCTTGAGGCAAGAGCTTTAAGCCACATATAATGGTCGGAAGAATAGCGCATAGTAATCATATTTTAAATTATATTACCCCGAAAACTTACATAAAAAATGCACAGCAGGAAATCGGAGAAAGTAGAAGAGCGGACGTGGAATTGACAGACAGCAAAGAGAAGAAAGAGAAATTCGTGCGCAAAATGATTGAGAATTTTGAATCCAAAGGTCTTTCCAAAGCAGAGATTTTAAAACTATTACAAGAATTACTTGCAAGTACACGTCATGAAGATTTGAAGGTAATATTTTTGACTATTATTAAGAAGCTTAACTAGCATTTTGATCTAATCTCTAGTGGTTAGCATATACGGCTCACGGTAATGGGTTCGAGTTCTATGTCGGACCAAGCAAAGTTATTGGGGTTTTCTGTAAAGAAATTCTTAATAAGAGAGTTGACACCGCTGTGTCTTAAAGAGCACGTTAAACATTCAGTCCTGCGTCTTAACTCTCACTGGTCGTGTCGAACCCATCTATCTATACATCTATACGTATTATAAAAATGTAACGGATCGCTGTCTGTACATGGAAAATATATGAGATAAATATTATTGGGACATTTACGAGTATCAACGAAAATGGCACCCAAAACTATAATTGTTAGAATTTTTGTCAGTCTGTTTGACTGTGCGTTTGTGCACGCTAATCTCAGAAACGGCTTATCCGATTTATATGTGGTTTTCATTAATATATTTTGGTAAGCTTCACTTAACATTTAGTGTTTGTTTCATGTCAATCGGTTCATAAATAAAAAGGTTATGCCAATTTAAAGAATCACGTCGAACATTTGTTACACTATCTATATCTATCTATCTATTCTTTCTCTGCTCGGTAGCATTGGCTGAAACTTTACTAAACACAATATAATAGCACATAGGCTACTTTCTATCCCGGAAAAATATACGGTTCCCGAGGGATAGATTTGTTCTTGTTTTTCGAAGGGCAAACCCGAGCGAAGCGAGGGTGAGCCGCTTGTTGGGTTATAAAAGTAATGCTATATAATAGATAGCTGAAATTGATTAGGATATCCTTATTATTATTAAGATACTTTAAAGATCAATGATGACAAATGACGACACGTTTGGCTCAGTTTATAGTGACCCTGTTTGCTGTGCCAGTGGTTGAGGGTTCGAGTCCCGCTGGAGGCATTCGTTTGTGTAATGAGCATGAACATAACACAATCCTCGCAGCTTACCATGGAACTAAGTGATGCTGTGTATTATGCCCCAACATATTTATTTAATTTAATGATACAATATAACAGTTTTGTAGAAATTACTCATTATTAACTTATACATATTTGTTTCAGGAAATTTACAAAGATTACATTAGTAAATATCAAAAATAATAACATTAAGAAGTACTGGAGACTGAAACGAGAAGAAATTTATTCAGATCCAAAAAATAATAATAAAGAAAATCATAACTCATGTAATTTTTAATATATATTTCTGAAGAAAATATTAAATTGATAAGGAAACGAACGAAATCAATTTAAATAGCACTAAAAAAATGGGTGCCTGTAATATATATATATATATATATATATATATATATATATATATATATATATATATATATGTGTGTGTGTGTATGTGTGTGTGTCTGCCTCTTTTTAGTGTCGCATTTTCGTTTCATCGAATTTCAAAACACATCAATTCTAAAAAAGTTTTACTTCAAAAATTATTTTGATATTATAAGGTATATAAGGTTCTATTTGCGCATACAAAAACATTAAACATCAACAAATAATTCAGTATGCCATTAAGACATACATATACATGTCAAATATTCTAGTTTCGTTAAAGCTATATTTTTTCGTTTCGAACCTGAAAAGGCGATTAACCGCTGTTCATACAACACCTGCTCGAGCCGCTTTGAGCTCTCTAATGATAGACTAATGGCCACTTACTCCAATGCAAACTTTACTGTGACATAGATCTAGATAGTTACTGAACTTTGTGGTATAAATAGAATGTAGATATAATACTAGAATCAACTAGTGTATTTAGATGTACTTGAGCCGAAAATAATAAATATATTGAATATATTTAAATTCGAAGGCCAAAATAATCTTCTAGACTACTATAAAAATATATTATAAAAAAAACTATTTTTATATTTTTTTTTTATTTACAGCTTTTTATTTTACATGAACTATTATCATTGTTATCGATTAGAATTTAGAATTTTTGTCGGTCTGTCTGTCTGTAAATCTGTCATCACAGAAAAACCACTGGAGGGATTTTGTTGAAATTTGGTATGATGGTAGCTGGTTGTCCGGGTCAACATATTGGATATTTTTACCGCGGGAAAATATCTCATTTCTGAGAAAAAATACAAAAACTGCATTGTAAGAGTATACTAATATGTTAAACCTAAGAATTTTCTTTTTGGTCATCTGAACGCGGGCAATGCTAGTATAGAATATGAAAACGTGTGCACTATATCTGCGCAGATGGCTAGTTTCAATGAGATCCCGCAGAGATCTGGCAGTGGCCAACATCAGACGGAAGGACATTAATATTATTAAAATCTGTTTAAAAATTCTGTTTCTATTTTTTTTAAAACAACAATACTAATATTATTATTACTGGACGAATATTATTAATTTTTCGTAAAAAACATAAATTTTAAATCACGCTGAAAAATGAATCTAATCTTAATAGATTATGTTATTGCATTTTTTATATTATTAATATACAAGACATTAGTATATAATACCAAATATACGTTTGTTTTTAACTTTGGATTGACGTGACTAAAGTTAGACTAAATAATTGGATACGTATGCTAATAACCAACCAAGTTCTGTACGCACGCTGGCGAGTAAATATTTAATAGGGTAAACTAACGAATTTAGAAACCACTATAACATTTTTGCTGTTAGGACTTACTATGCTTAAAAACTTTATTTTAAAGTACATCTTGTGTTAGTTAAAAGTGAGTTTTGACTTCAAATGAATTAATACGAATTGCACCCATCTACCATAAATTGATGACGATTTTCCCATTTTTTTTACATTTTATGTACATACTAGTGACTCACTCTCGCTTTGCTCGGGTTCGTCCGTAGATTGTTTCCCCATACAAACTTTCATTCCCATTTTCAACCCTTTAAGGGATGATTTCCGGGATAAAAAGTATCCTATGTCCTTTCCAGGGTTTCAAACTATTTTCTTACCAAATTTCATCTAAATCGGCTTAGTAAATCCAGAGATTACCCCCTACGTCACAAACTCACAATCCATAAATTTTACCTCTTTATAATATTAGTATATGTACATATAGGCTACGGATACATATGAGTAAGTACGGATACATTTCTATAAATAATAAAAAAAAACAATATATTACCTTTGTCGATACGAGTAATTCAAATTGCATCTTTGCATTTATTAAGCCGATTAATGTAAAGTAATATATTAAATAAGGAGAAACGGCATTATTTGGTAAAAGAAATTTTTAAAATACATTTTGTTTTCATCATCCTTGTCTTATAGCGCGTATTTCGTAGAGCACGAATTGATATTTATTGATATATATTTTTTTCAAAGGCTCAATTTTTTTTTCAATAGGTACTCGATGTTAAATTCTGAAAAAGCTTCGTTGCCCAATGGAATTGAAAAAATATCGTTTTCAAAATTCAAATTTTAATCAAATTCTTATATTATTTGAATTTTATTATTATTTCCAAACGAAAATGAATAAGCCTAGAATAAATTATAATTTTTTTTTTGCTGATATTATGCCCATTTATTATTTACTAGCATTGCCCGCAGCTCCGCCCGCGTTCAGATGACCATAAACCAAATTCTTAGGTTGTACATATTATACTCTAACATTGCAGTTTTTGTATTTTTTCTCAGAAATGAGAGATTTTTCCCCGGTAAGAAGTATCCTATATGTTGACCCGGATAACCAGCTATAACCACACTAAATTTCATCAAAATTCCTCCAGTGGTTTTTCTGTGATGCGGTAACAGACAAGACAGATAAAAATTAGAAAAAATATAGATTCGGCCTGTGTATCGATAATAATGTCTATTTCAATAAGATTTTCCAAAAAATATTTAATGTAAAGATCCGGCTTTGTTACAATTTTATTATATTTATAGATAAACGAATGGTGACACGTTTGCAAAAAAAAACGCCTTTATATTATATTTTATTAAACTAAACTTAAACACAATGCTTTCTTAGATTTACGAGGATATTTAGGACATCATTTTAAATGAAAGTATTTGTTCGGATTTTTTTACTCTCCCGTGATCATGTATGCTGCTAAGGACCCGAACATCGATAACCTAAAACGATAATAATACCACGAAAAAATAACTGTCATTCGTAGGACTGCACGTCAGAACTGAAAACTTCTTAAAATAATGTTTACAAGTTAGTGAATAACTTGTAAACATTATTTTTGGGATGTTAAGAAATATTTTTAGGAAGTATTTTTTAATAGAAATCATTTTTACTGACGTACACACATATCTGTACATATATATATATATATATATATATATCTGAGCGTGATGGTCACGCGAGTTCAGTGCTTTTTCCCGATTCCAAAAGTGTCCAACATGTATAAAGAAGTTTTCACTTCAAAATAAAAAATAGTTTTATCAAACATAAACAGCCTGTCATACAGACCTTTACTCTACACTAACCATACATACTCGTACTTTCTATTTAACACTCGTTAATTTATAACTATTCGTCTATTTTGATTCAACTCCTATTAGCTGATAATTATGTCAACTAAATTAAACTGATGTTTGGAAATGGCAAATTTAGAATTATTTACAATTGTATTTCGACAATCGGGGCTCTGATTGAATGCTTATAGGGTGGAAAATGCATGGGGGTCATTTGTTTAAATTTGGTTACAATGTACTGTCTATTCGTAATATATTATTAATGCGATAGCGAGTCTGTTTGTCAATTTATCTGTCAATTTTGCTATATAATTCTGTTTGTTTAAACGTCTATGGATTTTTTCATAATATACATTCAGAATTTAATATGGACACACAGATCTTAATTAAGACATATTGGAAATATAAATATTGATCGAACCCGCAACCTCCTAGAGGATGTACATAATATATACTTCGACCATAATGTGAAGGGTGAGACAGTCCTTATACGAGAAATCTAAAAGGCCCTAATCGATCGATGTCTAAGGTCCTCATACATCGATCATACATCGATCATATATTACACATCGATCTGCCCTTATTGCCTATACAGTATACATGCGCTATAATTTATTTAAGCTGCTCAAAAAAAATTCAAATCTAACTGGTCGTATCAGAGGTTAGCGATATTCCATACTAAATAAAAGATGAACTATTTAGGAGCTTTTCTCATAAAAAATTAAAAAAAATATTGTACTTGACAGAAATTAAAATCGCATTTAACTGAACCGATTAATGAACCTACTATTATTTCCACATGAATATGTTTTATATTACTTCATCATATAAATTTATGTCTCAACTGAAATAGAAGTTCCACAATCGATCAAATGTACCACAAGTGTATCTTCAACAAGTCGCTGAAATCAATTAGCGGCGGACAGAGTGTCCAATTAAAACATCACTTCGATAGATGAGAGCTGGCGTACTATTGTTTACTCTACAGTGTGCGGTACGGTTCGAGCGTCTGATAGGGCGAGCTTTTTTAATTATATCTAACATTCTATTGAAAGTTATAGATATTTAATTGTATGTACGTGTAGTATTGTATGGGTGAAGCGGATGAGCAAAAAATATAATGAAAGCAACCCTCCATCTCTAGTAGTAGGCATTATTGGGCTTCTGTGTATCTTTTCACCAACATTTCAAGTGACCTAACATGACTATACCACATCATCTCGAAAAATATTATGTTGCGTGATATTGCCCTCAATGCGACTTTCAAAAGTCGTCAGGTCATTAACATATCTACCAACAAAAAATACTTGTACATATATTATAAAAATACTAGCAACTTAATCCCGCTTCGCTCGGGTGCGATCCTATTAACTTTAATGGTTTATGGAAGCATAAAAAGCGTCCAAAGAATTTTTTTTTTTTGGGCCAGTAACTCACCAGAGTTTCCTCACAATTAGATTAATGGCTTAGGAACATATAGAGAACAAACATACGAACATTCATTTTTATTTATAATTTTCGGTTTTATAAACAGGCTACTTTGTGGAATTCAAAAAATAATTTTGATAAATGTGTATTTCATACTGTTCTAAATAACCTTCACAAAAAGTTCTTTCGAACAATTTTCCACTCAAATATCTCTATACTACAGGTATAATATACTAAAACAAAATAGTTCTTCAGACAAACAATTAAATTGTATTTATAATAAAATACTTAAGTTATAAATATGTACATAAAGTTTAATGAAAACATCGCAGCATTTGTCTTGGAATTTTTCATTTCCCCGCAGGCTTTGTGCGGCCAAAGCCTCTTCAAACGACTACTTAAAATATGAACTTAATAATATTAAAGGAATATTGTAATATACAGAATCCATAGTCCAAAGTAGATATATTATAAAGATATTATAATTGGTAAGTATATCGGTAAATTAATTTTCTTATTTTGAAAATATATAATGAGTCTCGATCATTTATTTCATTTTTAAGGAATTCTAACATTTTAAAGTAACATAATTAAGTAACTGAAATCATACTAAATAGTAGAAACCTGGAAAAGAAAATATCCCACGGGATACAATATGGAAACGCCTGTTCAATTACTATGGTTGCTATAGACAAAATTGCGTTGGGCTATGATGATAGGTGGTATTTTGTAAATGTAAAAAACAATGCTTCAATATAGTCCAAAAAGCACAACATAATATATCTCTCCCTCTCACTCTTTCCCTATATCCCTCTCTTTATTTCCCTTTCTTTCCCCTCTCGCTCTCTTTCTTTTCTCTCTCTGTTTTTCTCTTTGACAGCACACTAACAAGAGATACGTCAAGGCAAACTATATTTTAGACAGTTCACTTAACTCTAAAGTCACTACTCCAGCAAGCTGCAAACAGTGCTTACCCGGCCATTACTCAATTTCCGATTTTCCACTCCGATCACAATAAAACTGCACAATCAAATATTTCACTCAGCGCACTCAATAAGGAAATTATTTTATTTTTTCATTATATTTTTTCACGTATTCCCGCGCGTGACTTGCTTAGACACGTTCGCGGTATAATGTGTTTGTGTAGGAACGGATGTGGACCAGTCCATGAAATACTCAAATACACTTAATTTCTTTCATGACATTGGTTTTTTCTTATTTGTCCTTATAATTCCAGCTATCTCATATTAATTTTATATGGTTGTTATAGCAGAACCGAAATAACTATCAAAAATATTTGTCTTGCTACTTCTTATTATAAACAAGAAAAAAGTAATGGCTTGAGGATAGAAGGAGAACTTCTTAACTCGTCATGTTTGATGGGTTGATCATTTAAATAACAGTAATAAATTAGGTTTATTTCTTGAGCTCATAA